GTGAATAGAAAGAAATACGGAAGAGACGAACAGAACTAGAACAGGAAATAAAGCATCATAAAAAGAACTTTAAGAAATATTCTCATACAATATTCTATACAATTTTTATCCATCATGCATTAGCGATTGGTCAATTACAAACAATCTTTGGAAAAAACGTGCATTCCGTTCGTCAAAATCGTTTTGTTATTAAAAAAAGGAAACTAGTTCATTCATTCCGCTATTAAAAAAAAAAAAAAAACTAAACATGTTTTTTGCGATTGTGGTTTTAATCATATGATGTAGTTGTAGGCTAATTAAAAATGTACCATATATCCACGCATGTTATTTATATCGATACGTTTTATTACATAAATTAATATTTATACTGTCTTTGTTTCATGTGATCTGATGGCTCGATATTGTAAGGCGAAGGCTTTTCAAAACTATCGATGCAATAGGTTTAATAATTATAAGATGTGTACGTGGGAAAGGTGTTAATACAACACAGCAAGTATATAAAATAATTATTTCTGTACAACATACTATAGTTTAGCATCATTGCAGATGTCAGTATTTTTTTGATTATATAAACTTATGTACATTTAATATTTATTGCAGTCGACGACGGTGGTGACGTATTTTTCTCCGAATATCAATTATTGGTTATTAAATATTTTCAGTTCAAGTGAACACAGATCGTATTACTTTAATACGTTATAATTTATTACGGCGAAAATAATCGAAATACTGTATTAATGCATATATTGTGAAAAAAAAGCGAATTACATTTATAAATCATTTATCAATTTAGTTACTCATCAATTACAGTTTATTAATCATATTTTGATTTAATGTGCTTATTGTTAAAACAAGAAATTCAAGATTTACCAATAGCATGTCAAAAAAAAAAAAAAACATTTGTCAGTACTTGTATAAAAAATTATGGCTTCAATTTGAATGAGTAATGCTGTGAAAATAAATGTTTCATACTTGAAGTTTAATAATTCCACCATAAAAGCTTGAGTAATATAACACCTCAAGAATTATCATAAAATATGTTTGAAATTATTTGTAATCCTCTATTTTTATTTTAAATATTTAAAATTTGTGTCAATACTATTACAAAAGTAAAATACATAAATATTAGTTTAATAAATGGTATTCTTATCGTTAACTTAAAAATGTCATATACAATTTACTTATCTTTGTAAAGAAAAAAAGAAAAAAAACAAAGTTCTTTTCCATTTTATTCAGACTTTATTCACCATACTTTTGTGATACGAGTGTTTCAAAGCAGACATATTTTTTTTTTGTCTTTTACATAATATTCATATTATATATTTTATATAGATAAAAATCATTTCAGTTTTTGTTCCCAATAATCGCTGAGTACAAATAACAAATATAAATTCAAACGTTTTTATTTTTTTTTAAATAGGTATAATTAAACATTCATGTTTGAAAATAGCTCATACTGTGGATGGGAGTAGCCTCTGTTGTAGGTGAGAAGTTGGGAAGGTAGGATACATAATGTTATTTCATTTATATCTGTAACCAACTATAAACCGTTACTTAATGAAAGACATTCCGAGCGCAGTTAGGTAATACATAATTTGTAGTGCCAGAAGTTCCGTGTTTTGTTTTTTTTTTTTGCGATTTTCGTTTAAACTTAATTTCAAACCGCTTATGAAAAAAAAAAGTCGTCCGATGATTTTGAAAATTTTATAAAATAAAAACAAATGCGAATTTAATAAAATACATAATATTTACAATATATCTATAACTTTATTTTTCCTATCAGTTCATAGAAAATAATTTGTTTTTGTTTGGGCACGTGAAAAATCCTCAAATCCTTAATTGGAAAAAAATGGCACTTGACTCAAAATAGGTTCGCCACCCTTGCTATAAACTATATATATAAATGAGCCTTCAGAAAAGTTGCTGCACGTAAAAATCGGTGCAAGTTTACTAGGGAAAACCGTGTCCACGTACCAAAAAAAAAGGGGGAAAAAATAAACATCTTAGTAAAATTAATAGTTCCCTCGCTACGCTTAGAATCTAAAAATGAACATAAGAAGTTAAAGTATGAAAAGTTTACAAAAGTAGTATTGTATCCACAAAAAAAACCAAATTCGTATCTGAAAATAGGCTAAATATGAAAAGTTTATCGAGGATTTTGATACGTGATAGAATCTACAAAATATAACTACTACCTCCGACTCGATATAATTTATTAGTTATTACTACCTAAAATATATCTACTCATTTTTTGTAAATTTATACCTAAACGATCAATTTTTATTGTACAATAATATTTTTTATATAATTGGATCAACTGGTTATTACATATTGTTTTATACCAAAAATAATTTTACCCGTAACATTAATTTTGTCTTTATCGCCGAATCGGCATCCAAAAAGTCAGCGCTGAAAATATATATCTCCGAAACAGCAACGCCGAAACGACAACACTGAAAAGTCCTATTCCCTATAAACCGTTATTCCGTGAATTATCCAATTAAAATATAATTTAAATATCACAACTCGTAAAGGCACTAAACATTTCAAATCAATATTGGCGAGAACTTGCTTCCTAAATCATGGCATATCCCAAGATATTTGCCTCTTTCCAGAAATTTTAAATAATGTAGAACGTGTTGTATGTATACCATAGAGATGTAACAATAAAAAAAAAAAAATCGTTGCTATCGCCATTTGTCTAATCATTTTTATATAAAAAGCTGATGTTTTAAAGCTAGAAACCATCACCTTCCTCCAAGCGAAAACACGTTTAAATTCACATTGAAATTTAACCCAAATTTTGTCACTTCAATCCGTCTACATACAAAACAATTCTCATTCCCAAGTTTGAGGTTATTTGGACCAGACTCTAGACTCTACAGGGAACCGTTAAAAGTATCGGTAAAAAAGTAAATATGTATACCTTACAGAGTACAGGCACAGTGTACTCCAGTGAATAGTATCTATTATCGCGTAAAATACAACAAAAAGCAAACGCTTTCAAATCGGTCGTACCCACTCTAGATTTCATAACGATTTTTTCTTATGTATTTACATATTATACGTGTATAATCGTTATAGTTTCACATTCTATAATTAATAACCATAATAAGGTTGTTCGCATCCTAAAATGGTTATGACTACGTGATCACAACTACGCGATGCCTATCAGACCACGACAAATATTGTGTTGCGCACGTATCGTGTAAACCGTGTTTTTAGATTAGCCGATCAACACGTATATAAAAACACTAATACCGTACACTGACAACATTAAAAATATAATACTGTCTGGATGAAGTTCATTTGGCTACGTAAATATATATAGCTTTTGACCCGAGGGAAGTATTTGTGTTGCAATAAATAGGAATATTAACATAATGATAATAAAAAAAAAAAAAAAAAATATGAAAACATTTTTTTTGTTATTTACATATAGATATATGCGCGAGATTATCGATGTAAAATATGTACTGGCTGTCATTCATATCTATAATTAAAAACTATTATATTATAGAACAGTGAGTTTATAGCTAAAATATATTATTTAAGTTCGAAGTATAAAAGTATATATATATATATATATATATATATATATATATAAGTGCTGAAGATAAAGAAATAAGAATTGGGAAAAACTAAGTAGAGGAGCTCAATCCAACGATTTAAAAACTACGTTTCAAGTGCACAATCACTGAACACAGACCCGTGGGGGGGGGCTTCACTCCCAAACACCCCTCCCTGTTCCACCATACCAACATTTTGAATACCACTTTTCAGCTACAAAATATTAAAATTCCAAATATATTTTTATAACAACACCTACATCCTACATATTGCAGTAGAAAATAAAAATTGTATGAACTATTATTATTATTATTATTATTATTGTACCCTGATAATATTTTGCGTTCTCTTTTCCTATTCAGAACTCGGACCAAGCTATAGCATGTTAGTACGCCACTCCAATTTCCACCCACGGTTAAGTTTCGGCTTAGGCAAAACGACCACGATACCGAAGGGCGATCATTTTGCGATACGAATTTCGTTTTCTGAAATTTAAATATAAAAAAGAATAAATAAAAATATTATGTTCGGGAAAATCGACACGCGCCGTAATTACAGTGCTGATGCCTAGAGTGTAATAATAATAATAATAATAATAATAATAATAATAAAATACATATACATATCGTCAGTGGCGCTTTATTTTATTCATTTAACTATAATACATTTTCTTAACGGTCATTAAATAATGGAAAAAAATAAAAAATCGTGAACACGAAAAACAATTAACCGCTCTGGCGGGATCTCGGGAAGGTATATATATATACGCGGTTAAGAGGTACCCACCCGTAGCCCGGTCAATAATGATAATAATAATCGTTCGACGCAACATTAAAAAAAAAAAAAAACCGTAATTACCGGTTGTAAACATTGTTTCACGGAGCTAAATACGTTATTCAGGTCTTGTGAAACCAAAAAAAAAAAAAAAAAAAAACAACACTCCGTGTAATAATAATATTATATACATACATGGTACATTGTGATTGTATAATACGTAGTTGTGATTTATAACGCGGTCTCATATAAACAGAAACGAGTGAAGAAAAAAAAAAAATTTTTGAAAATCCGTATATGCGAGTAACGAAATATCGAAAACGTTATAAAGGACACGAAAATGGTGCGTTTACCTACCCGGAGAGAATTGAAAAAATCGTTTTATGAACCGAACTTGTAAGATATTGACAAAACCGTATAGATAATATCAATATTATCAACCAAACCATATCATAGTTTACATTTGAAGAGTACAATTTACTCCCAATTACGAAAGTAACGTCTTTTAGTATCTAAAAATTCCAAACATAAACATTTTAATTTATGCATAATTTAATCATAAAAATGGGGTGAGCATTGAGCATGCTTAAAAATCACTGTTTATTATTATCTATACATATTTTAAAAACATGACTTTATGGGGAGGTACATCTCTCTCAGCCCCGCATTTGACTGCCCCTGATAACCTTCATCATAAACTGCCACTTGACCCGATCTCCTACTTCGTTTTCACATACACCCATCGTTCTCATACCATTCTCAACCGTATCCAACCATCTATTTTTTGATCTTTCTCTCCCTTTTTTTTCTTCTACGGCTATTTTCATTTTAATGCTTACTGCTTCTAAGTTCTCTCTCCTCGTGATATGCCAAAACCATTCCAATCTATTTTCTCTCATTTTGTCCTGAACTATCGAAACCATCTCTTATGTATTCATTCCTTTCCATATCTTATCTCGTCACTCTACTCATCCACCTAAGCATTCTCAACTCTGCTATACTTATTCACTAATTGCTGTCCAACACTCCGAACCAATACAAAATATGTTTAACTAAATACAAACAAGGGAGACCGCGTATAGTAACGCACGATCGTACAAATGTATACCACCCCCTCTCTAAAGAAAAAGTCATTCCTAATACCGTTCCTGTTTTGGAGTGAAAGTTTCGTCGAATTTGGTGTAGCTCCTTTCCACGAGATTTGGGGGAAATTATAGAAGGATTTTAAAAGATATCATCTATCAGAAATATAACTATAACAACTTTAATACTACTTTATAACTACTTTAATAAAAGAAAAAAAATGGTAGAACGATAATTTATCATTAAAACGGATACGTCAAAATAAAATTCGGTTGGCTGTTACCTAGGTATAGCTATATATTATAAGAATAATTACTAGTACTATAATGTGGAAATAAATTCCTCGCCTTTTGATGGCCGTAAACGAAAGGGCGTAAAACTCACCAACTGTTATAGTTGTACGTTTATAAGTTGTCGTTTAAAATAATAATATACGGTTTCGGTTTATTTTTGTTTGTGGGGCGAAAAACGACACATGAAAATTGCCATTATACTATAGCAATGCAGCCATCGTCGTCTTCGATTTAAATACCGCAGTGTTTTAAATACCCACCGCCGGTCGTTTTACGACAATCGTGTATAATAGGCATACGAGTCCCGGGTGTCGAATAAAAAAAAAAAATTCAAACCAACTGGTGATGGTGAAAACAAATAAACTTTAAAATACCTATTCCCGAAAACGATTTGTACAAGTTTAAAAGTAAATATATTCCCGAGACGTCTCGAAGAATTTATCTATACTTTGTCCACAAATGATTGACTAGGAATAAAGTTTTTTTTTTTTTCAATTTTATAATGTATCAATATTTGTGTTATTTTTCTGAATTATTATCATTGGATCAAAACAAACAAAATATAACCTGTACAATTTACACTTGTCATACGTAAGATTTTCAAATTAATTTTATATAGTTCAATGTAATATAGATTTGCAGTTTCAGTTGTGTTCAAACAATTATTTTAAATCAGTATAGTAACAAATTTCAATATAAGGTATTTCTGGGGTATTTCAATTTTATTTCAGTCTTGTTCCCGATTCCAGTTCAAGGATTCGGTCATAAATTTCTCTCGTAATGAGCGTTATTTGTGCTCTCTTTAGTTTTAAACGGTCCTTAAACAGTTGAATTAGTTTCACAGATAAATATCCGTGTCTGAAAGATAAAAAAAAAAACTTAATATACTGCTTACGTGTATACCACTGTTATATGTGAGTAATTGTACGGGTAGAATACACAGTGTAATTTAGTTTGTGTACTACATGCAGTAATAAGTTATTGCGAACCGAAGAAGCTTATGATTTTATAAAGATTTTTTTTTTTTCTGTGGACAACTGTTTTTCCAGAGATCTCGCTCCGATTTTTAAGTGTAGCACCTTTTCTGAAAGGAAATCGGTGTGAGGAGGTACTTTAGGGAGATCATTTTTCGATTTTCCCGAGATTTTTCCAGCAAATATAATAAACTGGAAAAAATAAGGAAAAACCGGGAAAAATGTAGGAAAAATAAGAAAATCGGTACAATATTAAACAAATATTATTAAAGAAAATATATAATGCCTATTTAATTATTTCACCATAATATGACCATTTTATATTCACTAAACAACACTATCAACTGAACTCCATTTAAAATCGGTTTTTCGTTAGCAATGGTTTATCGTTCCTTTCAGTTATATGTATTAAATTCCCTTCTGTATTATATCTTTCCAACTTCTCACCCACAACAGTGGCTGCACCCGTTCCCATTATCCTAGGGCAGCTTTATTTTGGTTGTTCGCTTCTGAAAAGATGGAAAATGTCGATAACGCCTTGTAAAGAATATACAGGATAAACCGTTTTTACGATTCCATAATAATAATTTAATTTAATAGAAAAATCAAAAAAATCGTGTGTGCTGAGTGATGAGGGCACAAAAAAGAAAAAAAACCTATTGTGGATTCCATTTCAGTGAAGATAAAAATTATGGCAATCCATTACATAAAAGCATACTTACAGAGAGAGATAAAAAAAAAATTCCGAGTAAAATCCTCAATTATACACCATTGTCGCTGTATACATTACGGCCAGATCACTATATCGTCAGCCTCTGTAATATTAACATTTTTAATGGCTTATTTAAAAGACCGATGAATGTTTTTTTTTTTTTTTTTTTCATGTAGGCATTGCTATTTTAGAATAGGACATCAGAAACG